GAGAGGGCGAACTGCGCTCGCCGCCCGTTCGAAGAGGGAGAGGAGGTGCTGTATCTCGGCTATATCTCGGCGATATCTCGGCTATATCTCGCCGCCCGTTCGAAGAGGGAGAGGAGGCCGTTCAGGCGGAGGGCGGGCGGCGCGGCGCAGTACTCCCCACGCACAAGGTGCGACGCGAGCCGCAGCAGCGCCTGCGGGGGAAGGATCCGAGAAGGGTCGAGGAAGAGCGTCGAGGGCACGGCCAGAGGTGCGCCGTGAGATGCAGCGGCGGCGCCTCATCCGGCGGCTCCCACCTCGCGTCTAGCACCTATCGTCAGTGCTCGAAGAGAGTGTGCAGCATCGTGTTGCGACTCGTGGGGCTCGTCGCCTCGCGTCTCGCGCCTACAAGCGCCGCATGTCGGCGACAGGCGTGAGGCGGCCCGACGAGACCGCTCCGTGCGCCGCGCTCTCTGCACCGCTGCCGCAGCCCACTGCCGCACCGCCAGCCGAAGCAGCTCCGGCCAGGCGCCTGCGTCGCCGGGGAGCAGCGCGAGCGCGTCGCGGAGGCGCCGCATGCCCAGGCCCGGCGCGTCCTCGGGTGGCAGGCCTGCGAGAGAAGCTTCCGAGAAGGTTCTCAGGGAGGGTCGGTCTGTGCAACGGCGCGGCGCATCCGCGAGGTGGCCACGCCTGCACTCGCGACCGTCTGCTCGAAGGGGTCGTCTTCGAGAGGAAGAAGCCGCTCCAGCAAGACCCTGTGCATCCGGCTCACCGTCCCGTCGGGCGGAGGAGGCGCGTCGCTCCGCAGGGCAGACGCCAGCTGCGGCAGCGAGGGCGGCGGCGCTGCGCTCCGGCACAGCTGCGGCAGAAAGACGCGGCTCATCTGCCACAGCATGAGGAGGGGCGCCGTGTCGAACTCCCACGCGACGTCCGCGACGGCGACCGACGGCGGCGGCGACGGCGGTGGGCGCGGCCTGGCGGCTCTCCCTCCACGCCCATGCAAGACCGCGGGTACGGCCGCCTCTGCGCCGCTCATCAGCCGGCCGACGAGCGCCCACTTGCAGGCGTCGAGATCTACCTGAGCCTGCTCACCGTCGTCGTAGCAGACCAGGTGCGTCTCGAGCGCCTCGCTGTAGTCGCGCACCGTGCCGTCATGCCACGCACCGTCCCGCCACACCGATAAACGAGACCGCACGAGCCCGCGACGGATCCCGCGTGCGCTCGGCTGCTCAGAGATTGGCAGCTTGCCTGACGTGGCGAGGACGTGCGGCGGCGGCGCTGGCATTCTAGCTGGCGACAAGTGGCAGCCCCGGTGCTGGCGGCAAATACAGCGAGTGGAGAGCGGCAGCGCCGCGAGGAGAGAATTCGCTCGCCAAGTCAGGGCCTGCTGATAGGGCGCGAAGTCAGCGTGACCACAACGCAGGCGTCTTTTTCTTTTGAGCTTAGCCTTCGATGTTATGAAACAACGCAAGGCGGACATGGCATATCGCTCTCGGGCTCACAGACATCCCTCACACCCGCCGCACACCCGCCGCCCCCGCGCGCGCCCCACCTACCTCGGCCGGGAGAAAGGGGAGTGACAGTTTGGGATGAGCAAGCCCGAGTATGTTGAGTCCTGGCTCAACAACGCAGATAACAAGAGGGGGTGGTCCGGCTCACAGGTCCGGCTCACGCGCCTCGAGCTCGCCATCTACCGCACTGAACACTTCCGCCCCCTCGCTCCCAACCCATCCACCCCGCCCCGGGCCGCGCCGTCTTGTTTCTTGCGGCATGTCGCCAACTCTGCTGCCCGACCTGGCGTGTGCGAGGATTGCTCCACTCGTCTCAGGGAGTCACAAATGCCATGTCCGCTGTGCAAGGAGCCGTTCCGGCAAAAGCGACAAAACACGGCAACCCTGTCATCTGCACGTCTCGCGCGCGCGTGAACAGGGCTCCAGGCCCCAAATGACGTGTGCGTGTTAGAGTTGTTTGGTATTGCTAAAAATCTCTCTCTCAAAAGCGAAAAGGTGAAACGCCGATTTTTCTTGTAGAGAGAGAGAGATTTTTATTAACCAACAAGAAATCACGACTCTCACAGTGATTTGGGCTCGGCAGCTTGTTAGCCCTCAGCCGAAGCTGGGGCCGGTCCCGTAGCCGAGAGAGCCCGCGCCGATGAGTTCGACGCGGTCCGGGGGGGCTTGCGGAGAGGCCAGCGAGGTGGCGATCGCTGTACTTCATGGTCGTCATCAAGTGACCGGCTGACAAGCCAGAGGTCGATACTCTGGACGACCCATAGGATGCCACGAATGCCTGAAGGAGAGGGAGGCGAGGCCAGAGGCAGGCTCAGCTGCTCTCGGGTGATCCCGCTTTGGAGGCTGAAGGACCCGATGGTCCTGTCACATTCGCGTTCCGAGTCGTGGGGGTAGAAGAATCTCTCTCTCTCTTCTTGTATCGCAGAAACAAAAGCCAAAAGGGGGAAGACACCCATTTCTCGTGGAGCACTTGGTCTTGGAGCACTTCCACTTGGAGTGCAGTTAGCAACCGCACATCCAGGGCCGGGGAGCTAAGAAGCGCACCCAGCGGGCCGGATGATTGGCATCTGCGGGCAAGAAAGCCCTAGCCCTGGGGGTGCGCGTTCGCAGGGCAAGGGCCTTAAACACGGGTCCCCGAGGGTTGGCTCTGCGCTCCGGGTTTCCCCTAGCAGCGGAACGCCCCCTCTACGGGGCGAGTTTTTCTTCTTTCTGGCGGCATGACCTGTCGGGAGGACGACCCCGGCTAGTCGCCGACCACACCCACAAAGAACCCTGCACAAAGATCGCAAGGGCGGGGCCTGTTCCTTTTTCGCTCTCACAACCTTTGCAATTATTTCTTTCTTTCTGGCGGCATGAGCGGCGGCCTGAGCCCAGCCCTGTTGCCCAACCTGGCGGTGGGCGACCTGGCCTCGCTGCGCGCCCTCCTCTCCGGGGGGCAGACGCGCGGCATGTCGCTCGCAGCCCAGCTCGACGCGCGGCTCGACACCGAGAAGCAGGACACGCTGCTGACTTGGGCCGCTCGGCACGGGCAGGCCGAGGCGGTGCGGCTGCTGCTCGAGGGCGGCGCGAGCGTCGGGGCAACGAATGGCGGCGGCGGATCTGCGCTGCTCATCGCGTGCCAGGATGGCCACCTTGAGTGCGTCCGGCTGTTACTCGAGGCCAGCGCGGCGATCAACCAAGCCAATGAGGACGGCGTCACGCCGCTGTTCAAGGCGTGCTGGCAGGGCCACCTCGAGATCGTCCGGCTGCTCCTCGAGGCTGGCGCGGCGAAGGACCAAGCCAGGGACAATGGCGCCACGCCGCTGCTCGTCGCGTGCTCGGAGGGCCACCTCGACATCGTCCGGCTGCTCCTCGAAGCTGGCGCGGCGGTCGGCCAAGCCATGAACGGCGGCTTCACGCCGCTGATCGCTGCGTGCATCCAGGGCCACCTCGAGGTCGCCAAGCTTCTCTCCTCCTACGGCGCCTCCCGCGCCGCACTGCCGCCCTTTGGCACGCCCGAGGAGGCCGCAAACCGCGCAGGCCACGCCGACCTCGCTGCCTGGCTGGTCGCCAGCCGCGGCTGGACGCCGCTCGCGCACCTTGAGAGCCTCACCGCCGCCCGCGCCACCTCCCTCCTGCGCAGCGGCGCAAGCCTGCACGAGGGCGAGCCGACGCCGCTGCAGCGCGCCGCGGGCGGCGAGGGCGAGGCGGCGGCGCTGATCCGGCGGGCGGCGGCGCCGTGGTCGCCGGCAAGCCACTCGCTCTTCCCCGCGGCGGCGCGCGAGTACGCGGTGATGGTCATGCGCATCGGCCACCAGATCGCGCTCTCTCCGCCGGACGACGCCGAGGCGCGCCCGGACTGGAGTGCGCTGTCCGACGTGTGGCGCGAGCACGTGCTGCCGCACGCGGTGGCGCGCTGAGGCCGAGTGAGGACGCGAGTGCCACGCGGCGGCGCTGGTCCGGCGGGCGGCGGAGGCGGAGGCGGCGGAGGCGGAGGGGCAGGCAGCGTCGGAGCGCGAGGCGCTGGCCGCGCTGCAGCGCGTCGCGCGGGCGAGACTTGGACGAGGAGCTGTCGGCGCTCGGCGCCTCGCCTCGCAGCGCTTGAGGTTGCCGAGGCGCCGGCGGCCGCTGCTCAGACGGCGGCAATGGCAGTGGGCGAGGTTGAACTACTCATGTGCGTCGTGTGCATGGCCGAGCCGATCACGTGCGGGCACCACTGCGTTTGCGAGGATTGCTCCACTCGTCTCAGGGAGTCACAAATGCCATGTCCGCTGTGCAAGGTCCAAGGAGCCGTTCCGGCAAAAGGTGAATCGCGCCGATTTTTCTTGTATTCGCAGAAACAAAAGAAAAACCAGTGGGTTTGTACTATTAACAACGAAGGCGCTCTCAAAGAAAAAAGGCTAAGGGGGGGGGGGGGGGGGAGACATGCAGGGTCAAGGCGTGCCTCACCTGGGTCCTTTTTCTCGAGCTTGGCCGCAGCACAAAGTGCCCGCCGTTGGCCGTTCTCCATGGCGCGCGTAGCTATGACAGGGACCGCGGCCGCGGACCCGGTGGCGGACGGGGCTGGTGCGCAAGCGCCGGCCACCGTCGTGCCGCCGGGGATGCGCAGCGTAGAGCTGTCAAACGTTAACTTTGGGCCTAACAGTTGCACTATTGTTGGCTGAAATCCTCAACGTTGTTCAAGTGTTCTCCCCCAGCCCAAGCTGTTACTGTTTGTTACTGTTGTTACTGTTGTTCAGTGGTCAGCAAGCAGAAAATGCCAAAAAACCCGGGTAAAACCCGAAAATACCCGGAGATTTCCAGGTATTTTCGGGTATTACCTGCACTGGACGCTGGAGATCGTCGTGGGTCACTGGTAGGCCTTCCTTATTGTTGTTCAGCTGGCCTAACATTAGCTAATGTTGTTGGGGAGCCCAACTGTTGTTCTGTTGTTACTGTTAACACTAGCAACACTGTTCAGCTCTTAACGTTTGACAGCTCTAGCGCAGCGGACCCTGGAATAGCTACGATCGCGCGCAACTGCAGGACGCGGTGATGGTCGCAAGGCTCGCAGGTGCGTCGCAGGTCAGGCTGATAAGGCCTGGCTACGCGACCATCGAGGTCGACCTGAAGCACGAGAAGGCCGCGGGCGACCGCGAGTCTGTGCAGGCGGCGGAGCGCTCGTTCATCGAGCGCACCGCGCCGCGGAAGAAGGAGGAGCTGACGGAGGAGCAGAAGGATGCTCGGGCCGCGGCTCGCAGGGCCAAAAAGGCCCGGCAGAAGAAGAACAAGGCGGAGAAGGCTGCGGCGGCGGCGGCTGCGAGCGAGGCCGAGCGTGCGGGCTACCCGTACGCGCAGCTGCGCGAGAACGCCATGTTCGTGATGGAGGGCCTGGAGGCTGCGGCGCAGGCGGCGCGCATCCCCACCGGGTCCAAGATTCAGGTCGCCTACTCGCTCCCTCCCGAGGGGGGCAGCGGGTTCGGCGACATGGTGTACGCCACGGTCCCTATGGGCTCCGTGGCGACGAAGGTTGCCCGGGACTGGCTCGCTAGCGAGCTCTACGAGCCGTCCCGGCGAGGCAAAATTGATGCGGCCTGCAGGGACCGAAAGGTTGCCGAGCTGATCACGGCTGCCGGCGCCTCGGCGCCGGCCGACGCCGTGTTCGGCGGCAGGTTCGCGACGGGCGAGACGCCCCGCCCGACGACCTCCGCCTCCGAGGCGGACGAGGGCGACGGCGGCGATGGCGGGGCCGAGAACATGTCCTTTGACTTATTCTAGGTCCCCACCCCTGGCCTCACCCATATCTTACCTTCTGCCCCCCCCTCCTGCGACCCCCCAGGCTAGATGGAGTAGTCACAGATAAGCCGGATGAAGATTCTGCCCCACACAGCCCCTTACCCCTTCACCCTCGCCTCGCTGCTTGGTGTTTCTGAACACGTAGACGACCACGCTGTGGGGGTTGTGTGCGGGTTGTGTCTGGGAGGGAGGGAGTGGGGTGCAGGTTGCTCACCCACGGCACCGGGCCGGTGCTTGCACTTTGAATGCCGTGGGGCTCCTGCCCGTGTCCCGGGCGTGGAGATGCGAGGGTCGCCCCCCCTTGCCCCACCACTTTGTGTGTGTGGAGACGTTTACCTTACCTTACCTTAGCACTTGGAGTGCAGTTAGCAACCGCACATCCAGGGCCGGGAGCTAAGAAGCGCACCCAGCGGGCCGGATGATTGGCATCGGGTTGCGGGCAAGAAAGCCCTAGCCCCGGGGGTGCGCGTTTGAAAGGCTTAAAGAGGGCATAGCGCAAGTTTTTCTTCTTTCTGGCGGCATGAGCGGCGGCCTGAGCCCAGCCCTGCTGCCCGGGCTGGCAGTGGGCGACCTGGCCTCGCTGCGCGCCCTCCTCTCCGGGGGGCAGACGCGCGGCATGTCGCTCGCAGCCCAGCTCGACGCGCGGCTCGACACCGAGAAGCAGGACACGCTGCTCACCTGGGCCGCTCGGCACGGGCAGGCCGAGGCGGTGCGGCTGCTGCTCGAGGGCGGCGCGAGCGTCGGGGCGACGAATGGCGGCGGCGGATCTGCGCTGCTCATCGCGTGCCAGGATGGCCACCTTGAGTGCGTCCGGCTGTTACTCGAGGCCAGCGCGGCGATCAACCAAGCCAATGAGGACGGCGTCACGCCGCTGTTCATGGCGTGCTTCCAAGGCCACCTCGAGATCGCCCGGCTGCTCCTCGAGGCCAGCGCGGCTGTCAACCAAGCCATGCAGGACGGCCGCACGCCGCTATTCATGGCGTGCCAGCACGGCCACCTCGAGATCGCCCGGCTGCTGCGCGATGCCGGCGCTTCGGTCGACCAGGCTGATGAGGACGGCCGCACGCCGCTGAGCGCTGCGAGCCTGGCTGGTGAGGTCGACTGCGTTCGGCTGATGATCGCCGCTGGCGCTGCGGTGAACCAAGCAGATTCTGACGGCTTCACGCCGCTGTACATGGCGTGCCAGAATGGCCACCTCGAGTGCGCCCGGCTGCTCCTCGCTGCTGGCGCGGCGGTCGAACAAGCCAAGGACGGTGCCACGCCTCTATACATCGCGTGCCAGAAGGGCCACGTCGACATCGTCCGGCTGCTTCTCGAGGCCAGCGCTTCGGTAAGCCAGGCCACAGAGGACGGCGCCACGCCGCTGATCATCGCGTGCGCGATGGGCGACCTCGAGATCGCCCGGCTGCTCCTCGAGGCCAGCGCGGCGATCGACCAAGCCGATGAGGACGGCACCACGCCGCTGAGCGCTGCGAGCCAGAACGGCCAGCTCGAGTGCGTTCGGCTGATGATCACCGCTGGCGCTGCGATGAACCAAGCAGATTCTGACGGCTTCACGCCACTGTACGTTGCGTGCCAGGAGGGCCACATCGAGTGCGCCCGGCTGCTGCGCGACGCCGGCGCTTCGGTCAACCAGGCCACAGGGAACGGCTGCACGCCGCTGTTCATCGCGTGCGCGAAGGGCCACCTCGAGTGCGCCCGGCTGCTCCTCGAGACCGGCGCGGCGATCGACCAAGCCCGCAACGACGGCGTCACGCCGCTGCTCATCGCGTGCCAGAACGGCTACGTCGAGATCGTTCGACTGCTTCTCGGGGCCAGCGCGGCGGTAAACCAAGCCGATGAGGACGGCGTTACGCCGCTCTTCATCGCGTGCCAGGAGGGCCACCTCGAGTGCGTCCGGCTGCTCCTCGAGGCTAGCGCGGCAAGCAGTCAAGCCCGCAACAACGGCGCCACGCCGCTGCTCGCCGCGTGCCGCAATTGCCACCTCGAGGTCGCCAAGCTCCTCTCCTCCTACGGCGCCTCCCGCGCCGCTACGCCCTTCAGCACGCCCGAGGAGCTGGCAAACAGCCAAGGCCACGCCGACATCGCCGCCTGGCTGGCCGCCAGCCGCGGCTGGACGCCGCTCGCGCACCTTGAGACCCTCACCGCCGCCCGCGCTCTCTCCCTGCTGCGCAGCGGCGCAAGCCTGCACGAGGGCGAGCCAACGCCGCTGCAGCGCGCCGCGGGCGGCGAGGGCGAGGCGGCGGCGCTGATCCGGCGGGCGGCGGCGCCGTGGTCGCCGGCAAGCCACTCCCTCTTCCCCGCGGCGGCCCGCGAGCGGGCGGCGCTCCTCGTCGTCTCGCTCTACGAGATCCACGAGCGGCACCATCTCGACTCGGCAGGAAACACGAACGGCATCGCGGCGCGCGACTTTGTCACGTGCGTGCTGCGCTTCGCGATCACGCGCGAGACGGAGTAGAGGAGCGCTGCAGTGGCCCTGCTCTCCCATTGGCACCGCCGCGGCGGTGGCTTTACTGCTGTCTAGTCTGCTGGTAGGAACGGGCGGGCCACAGCTCTGGCTCTTGCAGCGCGGGTGGCTCGCGATCGGGGGCGGCGCCTCGGCTGCCGCGGTGGTGGGTGGACGATGGCCGGCGGGGCGCGCGGTTCTGCGAGCGCGTGGCGTGTGGTTGCGTGGGCAGGCGCCGCAGCGGCGGCGGCGCCACCGGGGATGGGCGCCAGCGGGTGGGGTGCGGGCGCAAGCAGATTAGAGCTCGACCGCTGAGCGCAGGCCCGTGACCGCTGTGCGCAGGCCCGTGACCGCTTCGAGGCACCCGATGTGTGTGCGGGAGTTGGTTTGTCGGGGGGGGGGGGGGGGGGGACGTGCTCCGGGCCCGTGGCAGTGCTTGCACTTTGAATGCCGTGGGGATCCTGCCCGTGTCCGGGCGTGCAGATGCGAGGGTCGCTCCCCCTGGCCCCACCACTTTGTGTGGTGTGTACCTTACCTTTGCTTTGTCCTTTCTCTGGTTTCTGCAGGTAGAGCTGTTTAAAACATTAACTTTGGGCCTAACAGTTGCGCACGCCCAACCTGGCGGATTTGGGTACTTGCCCCGAAGGCAAGAGGTTCACGTTGCAAGCAGAGCAAGGATCTTGGAAGGACGATCAGGGACACACGGGAACGGGAGCGGAGTGGGGAGAGCAACGCTACGAAGCTCCGGTCCACTAACGACTAAGAGGGCTGGAGCTGCGGTTCATTCAAATGAACGGATATAGCTCACGGCACCCACACCTCGATCTTCTTGGGCAGCAGCTGGTTCGACATGTCCTCGCCGTGGCCTAGCCGGCCTCGCCCCTTATTGCCCCAGCTCCAAACGGCGCCATCGGCCGTGGCGGCGAGGCTGTGGTCGGATCCAGCCGACACAGCGACGACGCGCTGACCCGCGAAGGCCTCGATCTTCTTGGGCAGCAGCTGCCTCTGCCAGTCGCCGTGGCCCAGCTGGCCGTTCCCTCCACCGCCCCAGCTCCAGACGGCTCCGTCGGCGGTGATGGCGAGGCTGTGCAGACCTCCAGCCGACACAGTGACGACGCGCCGGCCCACAAAGGCCTCGACCTTCTTCGGCAGTAGCTGGTCCCGCTGGTGGCCGTGGCCCAGCTCGCCAACACTTCCCATGCCCCAGCTCCATACGCTGCCGTCGGCGGTGATGGCGAAGCTATGGTAGCCTCCAGCCGACACGGCGACAACGCGCCGCCCAGCCAAGGCCTCGACCTTCTTGGGCAGCAGCTGGCGCTGCTCGTCGCCGTGGCCCAGCCGGCCAGAGGATCCAAAGCCCCAGCTCCAGACGGCTCCGTCGGCGGTGAGGGCGAGACTGTGGAAGCCTCCTGCCGACACAGCGACGACGCTCTGGCCAGCCAAAGCCTCGACCTTCTTGGGCAGCAGCTGGTCCTGCTCGTCGCCGTGGCCAAGCTTGCCATCGTCTCCATCGCCCCAGCTCCAGACGGCGCCACCGGCGGTGAGGGCGAGGCTGTGGTAACGTCCAGCCGACACGGCGACGACGCGCTGGCCAGCGAAGGCCTCGACCTGCCTGGGCAGCGGCTGGCTCTGCCGGTCGCCGTGGCCCAACTTGCCATCCTCTCCACGGCCCCAGCTCCAGACGCTGCCGCTGGCGGTGAGGGCGAGGTTGTGGCCAGCTCCAGCCGCCACGCTCACGGCGCGCTCGCCTCCCAGCGGAGAAGGGAGGCGGGTCGGTGTGTTGAGCTGCGGCACGCCATCGCCGTGGCCGAGCAGCCCCTCTTGCATCGGATCTGAGCCACACGACGAGAGCCGCCCCTCGCCGTCGATGAAGAGGCTGTGCCGATCGCCTCCAGCCGCCCTCGCCGGCGGGTTGGACTCGCGCAGCAGCGCCGAATAGCACAGCCACCGCACGGCGCAGCTCTCGCTCTCTGGCTGCGCCGGCAGCTCGAAGCCGCGCTCTTGCGCCCACAAGCGGATGCCCTGCTCCGCGAGCGAGGAGAAGAGGAGCGAGACGGCCGCAACGCGAGCGATGTCGACGGGGCTGTCGCAGCGAGAGATGCGCGCTCGACGAGCTCCCTGGGGAGGTCGAGGAGGCGGGCGGGCGGCGGCGTGCTTGGCGAGCGAGCGGCGGTGGCGGCGGCGGCGAGGCGGCGCGAGCGGCGGCGCGGCGGTTTTGACATCGCAAGGAAAAGAATTCGCACGCCGCGCTTGTCTGTTTGCTTTCTTTCTTTCTTTTAATCCACCCCTCGTTTGGCGTGCCCGTTTTATTTATTTATTTATCCATCCTCTCCCTCGCCGCCCCTATTACCGCCGCCTCCTTTTCCGCCTCCCCCCCCCCCCCCCCCCAACACGCCCCACGGCCGCGGAAGCTGCTCGCCGCGGAAGCTGCTCGCCGCGGAAGCTGCTCGACAGGTGTCTCGCAGCTGCGTACGTATTCTCGTATTCTATTATCGTCGCGTAGTGTGGTGTTGCGTTGGGGCGGTGCGTATTCTCGTATCACTAGCTGGTGTCGTGTCCACTAGCTCCGAGTAGAGGGGGTGCGGTCTGCTGCTAGGGGGGCCCAAGGAAGCGCGAGGGAAAAATTCCGCCGCTGAGGGAAAGGTAAGGTAAGGTAAGGTAAACTTCTCCACACACACGAGGTGGTGGGGCAAGGGGGGGCAACCCTCGCGTCTCCACGTCTAACGACAGGAGCCCCACGGCATTCAAAGTGCAAGGCCCGGTGCGCGTGGGTGAGCGGGGTGTGTGTGTGTGTGTGTGTGTGTGTGTGTGTGTGTGTGTGTGTGTGTGTGTGTGTGTGTGTGTGTGTGTGTGTGTCACGTCACTGCATCCTCTGCCGGTTCCTCCCGTCGCCTCTTCTTTGTTCGAATGTTTTTCAGTCCATCCTTCACGAAGCCCTCCCATGTAGCTAGCGTTCTTTGCGAATGTCTCGAAATGGCCAGCAGGCGCTGTCTGCTCGCGGCCTGTGCGGGCCGCTCGTCCTCCTCGCCCTTCTTTCGTCCTCCCGTCCCTCCCCTCCACCATGGCCTCCTCGGCACTTCTTTCTCCATCCGCCTCGCCCTGCCTTTTCGTATCGTGCCGTTTGCCCTCCATTCGGTGACCTCCATGGCTGTCCGCCTCCTTTTGGGTGGCGCTCTCGATACCGTTGCGTCAACCTCGACGTCGCTGTCGCCCTCCCCGTCCCCGCCGTCGCCCGTGCCTCGGTTCGCGTCATTGGTAGCGTTACCGTTGCCCCCTCGTGCTCCGCCGTCGCCCTCTCTGCTCGGGCCGTTCGCGATTTCGCTCCTCCTGCGTGTCGCCCCTCCGTCTCCTCCCCTGCCTTCGTCGTCATCGTCGCTGTCGCGAAAGCCCTCCGGTCCCTCGATTCCCTCGTCTATCCCCTCCGCTGCGTCGTCCCAGTTTATATCCTCATCCTCTGTGCGCGTTGTCGTTCCCTCCCCTTCTCCATCGTTGTCGCCTCCGTCGACTGTGGCGCTGCCTCTTCCCTCGCCTGCGTCCTCCTCGTCTCGCCTGCCATCGTCCCGTGTCTCCTCGTCCTCGCCATCGCCTTGGCCGTTGTCTACCTGTTCATCGTGTCCCCTGCTGCTGGTGGCATCGCCGTTAGTTCCTCTCTCCCCCTTTCCTCCCTGCCCCTCTCGCTGTCTGGTGTTAATGGACCCCCTTCCTCTCCCTCGCCACCGTCACCGTCACCATCCCCGTCGCTCCCGCCCTCCATCCCCGCCGCCCTTTGTCTCACACTCGTCTCTGCCATGTCCGCCGTCGCCGCCGTCCCGTCTGCTGCGCTCTGTGCTCCGTGGTACAGTCGCTTATTGTTGCTCAGGATTAGCTCTCGCACCAGGACAGCCTCCTGCTCGTTACTTTGGCTTGCCGGTATGCATCCAAAGTTCCACGCTAGCTCCTCCTTCGTCACGTCTATCTTTTTGCAGTATCTCGCAAATGCCGTCCGAGCTTGCTGGGGTGTTATTGCGTTCGGATCCGCCTTCGTCCCCGCCTTGTATCCCATCTCCTTGCGGTGGCTCCTGTATGAGTCCCCATATGACCATGTGATTTCTTGGCCTTCCTTGACTCCTCTCTCTGCAAACAGGACCATCACCTGCGCAGCTGCCTTGCCTAGTTGTATCTCCTCGTAGCGTACGAAGTGCGTCGCCCTCGTGCCTTGCTTCGGCTCGTTCGATGCTGAGGGAAACCCGGAGCGCGGAGCTATCCCTCGGAGACCCGTGTTATGGCCCTGCGACCGCGCACCCACCCACGGTCGAGGAAGAGGGGGCGGTCTGCTGCTAGGGGAAACCCGGAGCGCGGAGCCAACCCTCGGAGACCCGTGTTTACTTTAAGGCCCTTTCCCTGCGAACGCGCACCCCCGGGGCTAGGAAACTCTTGCCCACAACCCGACACCGATCATCCGGCCCGCTGGGTGCGCTTCTTAGCTCCTCGGCCCTGGATGTGAGGTTACCGACTGCACTCCAAGTGCTCCAAGTACTAGCTCCGAGTAGAGGGGGCGTTCCGCTGCTAGGGGAAACCCGGAGCGCAGAGCCAACCCTCGGAGAACCGTGTTATGGCCCTGCGAACGCGCACCCCCGGGGCTAGGGCTCTCTAGCCCGTAACCCGATGCCGAGCGTCCGGCCAACTGGGTGTGCGCTTCTCAGCTCTCCGGTCCTGGGCGTGAGGTTACTGCCCGCACTCCAAGTGCTCCAAGGGAGGCGCGGATTTTTTCTTTTTCGACGCGGCGGTGGTGGCGGCGGCGACAGCGAGCCGTCTTATTACCAGGTTGCAACCCTAGTTTCGCACTGACTGTGCTGTGAAAGGGCCTCCAGGGCTCGCACCTCAACCTCTCACAGACCAGCGCACAGCGCCATAGGACGTATTTTCTTCTCATAACAAGGCTGTGAATCGAGCGGCAACCAACAGCTCTCAGGACCCCGCAGTGCTGGGGTGCTGCCAGCAACCAACCAACTCACCGGCGAGCGGAGCGAGCCGAAGAGCGCGCTGTGAACGTCGTTTGAATCGATGTTTCGGCGGGCACGTCGCACCTACGTGGCGGGCCGCCAGGGGCCCGGCAGCATCGAGCGGCCGGCGCGTCCTCCCCAACCAGCGGCGTGTATTGCACCATAGGTTGCGTCTGTTCGCGCGCGTAAGTTGTTTCTAGCTGTGAGCGTGTCCGTGGGGGACGTGCGACTTGCAAAAAGCCCTAGGGAAAAGAAATTGTCGAAGCCCTGATCCGAGCCTCCCAATCAGGGCAGTGTGAGATCGACGAGCACACTGGCCACCCGGCCATGACACCCGGGCCATGACCTCACTCTCGACTCCTCGTCCCAATGTCCTAATTATCCTTGCTGACGACGTCGGCATCGGGGACATATCTGCCTACACTCCCGGCGCTCAAGTCGCCACGCCGGCAATCTCGTCGCTCGCCGGCATGGGCATGCGATTCACGCACGCGCACGGTCATCGGACATGTGCGCCGTCGCGATACGAGCTGCTCTCCGGCTCGTACGTCTACCGCGGCAAGGAGCCGGGCGGGATGTGGTATCTGTCTCCGGCGGGCTCCCAATTCCGTCCGGGGCAGCGCTCTATTGCGGCAGCCTTTGGCGACGCCGGGTACGATACGATCATGCTCGGCAAGACAGGGATCGGCGGGTTCATGGAGCAAGGCAAGTCGCATTCTCTCAGGGACGTGAATCGGCTGCTGAGGGGCTCGCAAAGACTCGGCGACGGACCTGCCGAGTGGGGCTTCAAGCGCTCGCTCACGCTGGTGAGCGGCCACCAGGGAATGCCCTTTGCCTTTTTCCGCGGCGGCGAGCTCTCACCCCGAAATTTCTCTACACGCTGCTGGGGGGCCTCGATCAGCGCCTTTGACGACGGCGTGTCCGTGACTGGCGTGTTTGAAGGCGGCAGGTCCAGGAATGCGCTGGTGAATGGCACGCTGGTGCGGGGTGGCGGCAGGGCGGCGAGCCTCTGCGACGGCAGCAATGGCGAGCTGCACGACGGGACCACAGATTGGAAGAGCCACATGGTCGACGTCGAGATTGCGACGGAGATGTTCGGCTTCTTGCGTGAGCGGCGGGCCGCTGCTTTTCCGCCGCCGTTCTTCGCCCTCCTCGCCACTGCGGCCGTGCACATACCGCACACGCCGCCCAACGAGTTCTTTGGCTACGCCGCGGCTGGGCAGCCGCCGTACGCGGAGAGCGTCAAGACGCTCACGCCGTTTGAAGGCATGCTGACCGAGCTCGACGCGCTGGTCGGTGTGCTGCTCTCTGCGCTGCGCTCCGGCAACGAGCTCAACCAAACGATCATCGTCTTCACCAGCGACAACGGCGGCCTGCCATGCAAGCCGGGCTCAGCTAAAGCCCTCGCCAACGGCGCCTGGACCGCAGGGCCCGGCTCGAGCAGCGCAGCGCCAGCGTGCACCGACAGCAGCGGCGGCCTTCGCGGCTTTAAGGGCAGCATTTTTGAGGGCGGTCATCGGGTTCCCTTGCTGCTGTCCTGGCCGGCTGGCGGCGTGGGCGCGGGAGCCGCCTCCTCCGACCTCGTGGGACTGGTGGATCTGTACGCGACGCTGCTCGATCTCGTGGGCGCGCCGCCGCCGGCGATCGGGCAGGCTGTCGACAGCGTCAGCTTCAAGCAGCGGCTGCTCGCGCCGCGTGCACGCGGCGCGACTCGCCGCACCGAGCACTTGGTATGGAACGCAGCCAGGGCTCACCCAGCCAGGAACACCAGCCAGGAGCACCCAGCCGGGAACACCTCACACGGGGCTCGCTGGGCGACGAGCCACTGGGCGAGCTACTTGGACGAGGGCAGCGGCCCGTCGGCAGCGCGCTGGAAGCTACTGGGCGACTCTCGCGGCGGGCGCCTCGTCGCGTCGGCCCTGTTTGAGCTGGCCTCCGATCCCGGGGAGGACTCCGACCTGCTCGCGCGCGGGCGAGATCATCCCTCGTGGGCGGTGCACTGCCGAGTGGTTGGCCGCATGCTCGGGGGTGAGGCGCGCAAGGGGCTCGTGTGCGTGCGAGAACAGGAGCGCGACCATCAGTGCCGCGGCTGGGGCGCGAACACGCAAGGGCAAGCCGAGCCGAGAGCTCCGATGCTGCCGCCGTTTTGTGGGCGGGGGTGACACTCTTCTTGTATCCTCATTTATTCAATAGCTCTCCGCAGACATCGGGCGGTTCCCCTCTCTCCTTTCCGTGCCGGAGGTGAAGGTGAGGGCGCACAATACCCTTTGAGGTTTGAGCGCGAATCCCCCCAGGCTAGATGGAGTAGTCAGATGTAGATTCTGCCCCACACAGCCCCTTACCCCTTCACCCTCGCCTCGCTGCTTGGTGTTTCTGAACACGTAGACGTCCACGCTGTGGGGGTTGTGTGCGGGTTGTGTCTGGGAGGGAGGGAGTGGGGTGCAGGTTGCTCAGCCTCACCCACGGGTACGGCACCGGGCCGGTGCTTGCACTTTGAATGCCGTGGGGCTCCTGCCACGTCCTGCCCGTGTCCGGGCGTGGAGATGCGAGGGTCGCCCCCCCCTTGGCCTTGCCCCACCACCCCTTGTGTGTGTGGAGACGTTGACCTTACCTTACCTTACCTTACGTTAGAATATGTGCCCCGTGGGGCTCCCGCTGCCCGTGTCCGGGTGTGGAGATGCGAGGGTCGCGCCCCCCCTTGTGCCCCACCACTTTGTGTGTGTGATCTGTGATCTGTGATCTGTGATCTGTAAGGGTCCGCCCGCAGGCGCATTTTGTATACCGAGGCGGTGCCCGGTGCCGAGCGCAGGCAGAGCCCACAGGTCGGACCTTGAGACAGCGTTGTAAATCCCTGGGCGAGGGTGGTGGAGAGGGCGGTCTGTCGGCGCGCTAAACCGTAACCCGCCGGGGCGGCGGGCCGGATCCACGCGCTGTCGGACCGCCCCGTTGGGGGTAGACCGCTCGTCTAGCCAAAAGCGAGCGGCCTGGCCGTTGGAATGGCCTAAGACCAGTCCCCGTCGGGAGAGATCGTCTGGCGGAGGTGATCCTCAAGAGGTGATCTACCGTCACCTCGCCGGCGTGCCCGGCGAGTTCGGCTTAGATCTCCCCTCCCGCGCCAGACAGTCCCTGTGGTGGTCACGCGGCCTCTGGCTGGAACGGGATCTACCTCGCAAGCGAGTCACCCGGGCCGGCGCGCGTCTTCCGGGAGAGGGGCGGGGCCTCAATGACCTAGTTGCCCGGCCGGGCGTTCGGACTCTTCCCCGTGCGGGGCCTCGGCGTCCTAGTAATCCGGCCGGCCGTTCGGTCTCTTCCCCGTGAGTCCCCCTCTCGCCGGGTTGTAGACGTGTGCCGCTGGGATCAAGCCCGTACGCCCGAGGGCGACGGTCCCCCGGTAGTAGACGTTGGCGCCAAGGGGGGAGGAGTCGCTGAAGGACGGGTAGTCGTCGAACATGCGGGGGAAGGAGGAGTCGGCGAGCAGCAGGGAGGAGAAATACCTGAGAGGGTGGGGAGGGAGGCGTGAGGCGCGAGGTGAGGGGGCGCGGGGCGCGGGGCGTGCGTGGGACGCGCGGCGTGAGGCGCAGGGCGTGAGGCGGGAGGCGCGGGGCGCTCGAGGTTGGGGCAGGGTGTGTTTTGTGTGTCTGTATGTGTGTCTGTATGTGTGTGTGTGTGTGTATGTGTGTGTGTGTGTTGGTTTGTTTGTGCGAGGGCTGGGCGGGGCAGGGCAGGGCGGCGGCGAGCGGCGAGCGGCGTCGGCGAGATTGGCGACGGGGAGAGGCGATGGTGAGCTCCTCCGCAGAGGGAGATATGGGGAGATATGGGGAGATATGGGGAGATATGGGGAGATATGGGGAGATATGGGGAGATATGGGGAGATCTTCCCCCGCCGCACCCACAGAGGCGCCGGGGAGGCGTTGGCCATGCCATTGGGCTTGGGACTCCTCTCAGGTGCTCCTCGGCATCCGCACGAACATGCTCCCCACGTATCTCCCCACATCTCCCCATATCTCCCCATATCTCAGGTGCTCCTCGGCATCCGCACGAACATGCTCGCGGGCGGCGCCCGCATCGACCCGAGCAGGCGAGACAGAGAGAGATGACGCCGAGAGACCGAGATATGTCGCAATAACTCATCATTAGTTATTAATCGGCAGGCGCGACGACTACTCCGAGGCTGAGGCGAGGGAGGCGTTCAACCGCATGGTGCGCGAGCACGGCTGGTACTGAAGTCGCTCCGCATCAAGGCCGCCGCTACTGTGAGGCCGCTGATACTGAGGTCGCTGCCACCAAGTGCCGCTGGCACTGAGGGTCGCTGGAACCTCGACTGGTACTGAGGATCTGAGGTGCGTCGCTGCTGGGGTGCGTCGATGGGTGGGGCTGCCGCGGCATTTTGCGGGGGCCGGTCGAAGCCGGGAGTGCGAGACTTTGTGGCGGCTGGCGCTGCAATGACCGGCTTATCTTGATGAGTGTGTGGTGGTGGGGGGGGGGGGGGGGCGCCACCGAATCTTTATAGGTTTTTGCACCTCGGCTGGTGGTGTGTATTGCGGGCCGCCTATCAGCTATCACCTCCACGCGCTGCCCGCCTGCGGCTGCGGCTGCGCCCGAACCCCATATCCCGCTATATATAGTCCCACCCACCGCCTGTCTGCCATGCTCGCGCGGCGGTCCCGACGCGGCCCGCACCCTTGCCGCCTGGCCGGGGCTGGAAAGGCTCAGTCCTCAGATAAGTTGTGGACGTCGCTTCAGCTCGATGCCGCGCTCCTCGCATGCGGCCACCAGCTCAGGCTGCTTGCTGTCCACGCCGAGCGTCTGCACGCGAGGGGAGGCGCGACGAGCATTGGGCGGGGGAGGGGCATGTGGCGAGGGTGGCTTCTCGCGCGCCTTCAAGCTCGGGGCGGCCCCCTCCTTGAGGGCGGCGGCCAGCGCCTTGAAACCCTCGTCACCAATCTTGTTGAAGAAGAGATCGAGCTCCTTGAGCCGCGGCGCTGCCCCCTCCTTGCCGAGGACGGCGGCCAGCGCCTTGCAGCCCTCGTCGCCAACCTTGTTGCGGTGGAGATTGAGCTCCTCGAGCCGCGGCGTTGCCCCGCTCGCGAGGATCTGCGCCAGCTGCGCCGCCTCCGCGTCGCCCCAGCCGAGGTGCTCGTAGTCCAGCTCGGTCGCCTTGCCAAACTGCTCCTTGAAGGCGGCCTCGTACAGCTGCTTCACGAGCGGCTTGTCGTCCTTGCCGTTGGTGAAGCTCTTCGTCTCCAGCTCCGCCGCGAACGCAGACGGCAGCAGCGGAGGGCGACGGCCGCCGTCCTGGGTGCAGTCGTCGGTGAGGCTATAGAAGCTGTACTCCTTGCCGTCGCGCATCTTGCCGAGGTCGAGGGAGAGGCTGCCAAGCTTGGTCAGGCTCGCCCAGGCGTTCTCGGTGGCGCACCAGCCGCGGTCAAAGTACTTGGCCACGTTGGTGCCCTCGGCCTGGTCCTCCGTCTCGTGGCCGTCCGGGAAGGAGGTCAGCCGCAGCACCCACGTGTACGGGTGGGAGTAGAGCGTGCCGAGGCAGCCCAGCCCCTGCTTGAAGAGCGCGTTCTGCTCCACGGTGCGCACAACGCCGTTGGCGGGGTCGGGGTGCTGGTGGAGCGAGCCGAAGTCCCAAAAGACGCCGAGCCGCGTGATCCTGGGATCGGTGAGCAGGGCCTTGAGCGCCCTTGCGACGCGGGCGAGGTTGGCTCCGCGCGGGTCGGGGTGGTCCTTGGTCAGCCACGGGTAGGAGAGCGCGGCGACGGGGAGGTCAAGATACGTGTTGGTCGCCTCGATGAGGTCGGCGAGGGAGAGGAAGGCCTCTTCAGGCAGGTCCTGGCGGTGCTTGAGGACGCCGCCCGCCTCGGCGTGGCTGATGATCCACCGCGCGTCGAGGAAGGCGACGGCGCCGCTCGCGAGGACCGGCTCCAGGGCGTCGCCGCCGAGATAGCGCCACATCCCCAGCTTCTCCTCGTAGGTCAGGGGCTTCGTGTTCGGTCGGGGCTTCGAGGAGAAGCAGCCCATCGTGCGAAGGCTATCGAGGGAGGGGACTCAAAAGCGGCGGGCACTTTCGGCGGTTTCGGCGTTTGCAAAAGCAGAATATTCACTGCCAGAGCATTGGCCAGCAGCGACGCAAAACTTGACGGCGGAAGCGGGTAGATAGATGTGTTGCGGGCTCTCCTGCCTTCATGTGCGATCCATCCAAACCGCCGACTGTCAGGCTGGGTGCTCCTCACTTGACTCTTACTGGAGTGCAGCATATGCCCTGGTAGGGGCAAAGAGCCAAGCGATTGTCCGTGCAAAACCAGGAGGGTCCCCCTCTCGCCGACCCTCTCGCCGCGGCACTGCCGAGGGTGAGGCAAGTGGACGCGAGTGCCATGCTGTTGCTGAGCCTCGCTGCGAGGGTGGTGCCGCCACACCCCACCCACCTGTTGCCACAGACAACCCAGATACCGCGGATACCGCGGATACTGCAGATACTGCAGATACTGCAGATACTGCAGATACTGCAGATACTGCAGATACTGCAGATACTGCAGATACTGCAGATACTGCAGATACTGCAGATACTGCAGATACTGCAGATACTGCAGATACTGCAGATACTGGAGCGCGCCCCCGAGATACCTGGGTACTTGGGCGGGTTGCGGGACCACGTAAGGAGTGGTATCCCCGTACCCATACTTGCAGGTGCGACCGCCGCTACCTGTGTACTTGAGACGAGCTGCAACATACTGCCATATGTGCGTCTCAACTTCCCCATACCAGCATACGTCTAGCTATGCGTCTACGAGGTAGCTTTTAGTACCAGCGTACGCCTACCTGGCGCAACAGCAGGATTTACTTGCCTACCCCGAAGATGGAAATAGATACCCCGATACGTTCATACCTGGCACATACCTTACTTGCCCCTGTCCCCTGAAGAGTTTACACGCGACGCCGCCCCTGAGGCGCGCGATACACAGCCCACGAGACTGCGCACAGGACTTGCTCTGGGGGGGCGCGGGGGCCCTAGAGGGTATCCATGCGGGGGGGCGATGGGGTCCCATGGCCCGCCGCAGCCGATTTTTCTGGATTTTTTGCGCGATTTTTCGCTTCATGGGAATTCGGCGTACTTGCGCCATGCTATCACGCCTTGCGACAGCCTGTCGGCGCTGTTGACAGTGCCATGCTGCACAATTGATCACCCGCATAGCTCGCGGCCTTAGTATTCAGCATTCAGTGACGACCTGATCGTACGGCCAGTAGGAAGGTGTCCTTCCAGCTGCGTGCACGCTTCTGACGCAATGCGCGTCACAAACTGCCTCGGATTGGCTGCTGGCACTCTCGAGGCTATGCCTACACAGCCTCGCGCGCATGGGCAGTCAAGAGGGACCATGCACCTTCTCAGGACAGCGCCGATGCCTCTCTCTTGGACCGGCAAACGTGGTGGTCTCGTGTTACCAATGTGGGACCAGTGCGGCATCGCGCCATCGACAGCTCTGAACTGCGCCTCACCACTGACCGGGGAAGGCCGCCAAGTGGGCCAGCACCGGTCGCATATTGTGGCAGCAGTCAGCAGTGCATGTCTGATAGCTAGAGCAGCAGCGTCAGGGTCGCAGGGTCGGATCGTGACAAGCCTCTCGCCCGGCCGGCCGCGTGCAGACGTCGGCCCCTGTCTGCTGTCTGGAGTGATCTGTCGGCGGTCAGTACGACCGATCAGGTCGGAGTTTCCTGATGGTTGGAGGGTCTATCTGTATGTACTCCTCGAGATCTCTTCAAATCTGCCCTCTGTTAGACCGGGTTAGATCGGGAAGTCGGTGCTAGCGGAGACTAGCGGAGCCGGGGCCCCGTTTCCGCACTGCTGCACGGCGCACGGTGCCTCCGGGGGCCCCCGCGCCCCCCCAGAGAGGACTTGGCACCCTGCATGCACCGGGAAGCCGAGAGCATACTGAGCAGGCTGCCGTCGAGCGACGAGCCATGCTGGCTCGTCGCAGGCGATGAGGTCGAGGAGGCGATCGGAGCGTCGCAGAGGCTGCCGACCACTGTCGTTCGCCCTCGGGCCCAGGGGTGGAAGGCAAGCTTCCTGGCGTTTCTGGCGAGCGTCCAGACGTCGCAGAGCATCCGGCAGGCGCGCAGCGACCCAAATTTTTGCTCACCGCACGGCCGTGCGAGCCGTCGGTCGGTGGTGATGGTCGGCGTCGGCGCGCGCCGACCGACGCGGCGGCCGCCGCCGGCCGGTGGAGGCGTCATGTCGCGGGCGTCGGACTAGACATTGTGGGAATTTCGGCGGTCGGGGATTTCCTCGTGTGTGTGGAGAAATTTTACCTTACGCAGTCCTTACCTCCGTGACGACTCTCGACTGTTGCTGCGAGAGAGAGTGAGCGGCGAGTGCGCGTCAGCCCGGACCGCGCATCGCTCTGCCGGTCTCGCGTGTGAGGAGGAGCCCTCCGCGGACGACGCCCTTCGAGTGGTGCAGCTCGAGGACCGCCCCCTGCTCGCGCAGCCACTGCGTGCAGACGGCGAGGTCGCCCCCGAAGCCGAGCAGGTGCGCCGCGCGGGAGAGGGGGAGGGAGGGGACGAAGGCGGCGCATACCTGACTCATCCAGACGGGCCGATGCAGTGATCAGCGACATGGGGAGGGAGGGGAGGGGGGGTGAGGGGTGAGGGGGGGGAGGGGGGGGGCGGACCGCGCGGAGGGCGCGGCCGCGTTGCGGCTTGAGCAGCGGCTGCAGCAGCGCGGCGGCCAAGTTGTGCAGCCGGCTGCACTCGCCAAAGAATGTTCCGAACTCGCCGCGCTGGAGGGCGACGGCGAGCCTCAGCGCCTGGCGGGCGGGCGGCGAGATGCAGCCGGAGTGCAGCCGAGATGCAGCCGGAGTGCAGCCGAGGGGGAGCCGAGATGCAGCCGAGATATAGCGCCGAGATGTAGCCGAGATGTAGCGCCTGCGCGACGGGCGGAGCGGCGGCGTCCGCGGGCGCGAGGCCGCCGACAATGGCACGCAGCTCCTGGGGGGGGGGGGGGGGCACCATCGGTGGGTGGGCGGACGGGTTCGTGAATACTCTCACGCCCCCGAGGGGCAGCGGCCGGTGCCTCGGCGGGTGAACCCCCCCCCCCTACCCCACGGTACCCGAACCCACCCTCCCCTACCCCACGGTACCCGAGCCCGGCGCCTCTGCGAGCGAGCCCCCCCTCGCCACGGCGCAATGGAGGAGCCGGTACGCTGCGAACTCCGCGGCGTGCTCCGACAGCCCCGCCGCGTGCAGAGGGACCAGCTGCGCCTGCTCATGGAGGGGGGGAGCGTGAAGAGACGCTGTTCACAGCCCCGCCGCGTGCAGAGGGACCAGCTGCGCCTGACACTGTGCAAACTCGCCCTCGTCGCCCGCGCGCAGCGCGAGGCGCGCGTGGTACCTGGTGAAGTGACTGCTCCTCACAGAGTGTGCGATGCGAGACTATTCAGAGGCCCTCGTACTACACGTGATCGACTCGTAGACCCCTCTGTTGGGTCTGTGCTGCGCCATGTGATCCTAGGTTTCGTTCATCTGGGCGGGGCCACGCACTCGTACACGGCGAGGGCGACTGAATACGGAAGGAATGAAAGGCTTCTTTCATCTGGCGCGGAGGGGGGGGGGGGGGGGGGGAGGGAGAAGAGAGGGCAGAGGGGCGGCACACCTCGTCGGCGCGCGGCAGCGCCGTCAGTCGCATGTAGCTCTTCTCGAGCGCCATCGACTGCCCCTCCACCCGGCCGGCCTCGAGGGTCGGCGCGGGCGCAGCGCGCCGCTCCTGCAGAGGTGTGGGGAGATATGGGGAGATGTGGGGAGATATGGGAGAAGCGCGCCGCTCCTGCAGCGGCGGACAGGGCCGCATAGTGAGCTGCGTCGTGCGGCTATGCACCAGACATATCTCCCCACATCTCCCCATATCTCCCCATATCTCAGGTGCTCCTCGGCATCCGCACGAACATGCTCGCGGGCGGCGCCCGCATCGACCCGAGCAGGCGAGACAGAGAGAGATGACGCCGAGAGACCGAGATATGTCGCAATAACTCATCATTAGTTATTAATCGGCAGGCGCGACGACTACTCCGAGGCTGAGGCGAGGGAGGCGTTCAACCGCATGGTGCGCGAGCACGGCTGGTACTGAAGTCGCTCCGCATCAAGGCCGCCGCTACTGTGAGGCCGCTGATACTGAGGTCGCTGCCACCAAGTGCCGCTGGCACTGAGGGTCGCTGGAACCTCGACTGGTACTGAGATCTGAGTGCGTCGCTGCTGGGG